TTCTGTTCCTTAGTCCACATGCTGATGCCTGTGCCTGACCAACACAACCCCTCCCCCGAACAATCTAGAACAGGTAGGGATGCTTTCTTACTGAAGAGCGTTGAGAACTGGTCTCCTCTTGTCTTTTCTGAGCACGTCTGCTGAATGTCACCAGCTAGCAACTGTCAATTCACAAGAGAGGATAGGAGGAGAGGGACAGGCCCAGAGTGGCAGACATACGGCAAGTTGTATCAAAAGAGCGTAACTCAGAATTCATATACTTAAAAACATTTACAGTCGACTTTTACTATTTGCGACAGCTATGTTCTATTTTTTTTTTATTTATTTTTTTAAATTTTAATAGAGTTTCACTCTGTCACTCAGGCTGGAGTAGAGTGGCATCATCATAGCTCACTGTAACCTCAAACTTCTGGGCTCAAGTGATCCTCCTGCCTCAGCCTCCTGAGGATAGGTGCATACCATTATGTCTGTCTAATTTTTCTATTTTTTGTAGAGATGGGGTCTTGCTATGTTACTCAGGCAGGTTTTGAACTCCTGGTCTCAAGTGATCCTCCCTCCTTGGCCTCCCAGAGTGCTAGGATTACAGGCATCAGCCACCATGCCCGGTGTGCTGTGTTCCTTTAAATTGCCATAAACACTGACTTGCTGAATACCAGACCACTGATGGCACTGGAGATACAGGGTTAGGTCCCTTTGAGTTTTGGGTCACAACGTTTTCGTCCACCAATCAATACATACCTGTGTTGTATGTGTGTTTCTGTTTGAAGACACCTTGTTTAATATATGTTGTTGATTCATTAACATTGAATTTACAGCCAACAGCATTATAACGCCTGAATCGAGCTTACCCTCTTAAGATACATCACAGCCTTCTTATGCTTGGAAACAACAGACAGCACTTGCAATACTATTCTTGGGGACCGTTTTATTTTTTATTTTATTTTTTTTTATTTTTTTTGAGACAGAGTCTCACTTTGTTGCCCAGGCTAGAGTGAGTGTCCTGGCGTCAGCCTAGCTCACAGCAACCTCAAACTCCTGGGCTCAAGCAATCCTCCTGCCTCAGCCTCCCGAGTAGCTGGGACTACAGGCATGTGCCACCATGCCCGGCTAATTTTTTGTATGTATATTTTTAGTTGTCCAATTAATTTCTTTCTATTTTTAGTAGAGACGGGGTCTTGCTCAAGCTGGTTTTGAACTCCTGCCCTCAAGCAATCCGCCCGCCTCGGCCTCCCAGAGTGCTAGGATTACAGGCAAGTTTGCCATTTAAAACGGTCCCCAGGCCCGGCGCGGTGGCTCACACCTGTAACCCTAGCACTCTGGGAGGCCGAGGTGGGCGGATTGCTTGAGGTCAGGAGTTTGAAACCAGTCTGAGCAAGAGCGAGACCCCGTCTCTACTATAAATAGAAAGAAATTAATTGGCCAAATAATATATATACAAAAAATTAGCCGGGCATGGTGGCACATGCCTGTAGTCCCAGCTACTCGGGAGGCTGAGACAGGAGGATCGCCTGAGCCCAGGAGTCTGAGGTTGCTGTGAGCTAGGCTGATGCCAGGGCACTCATTCTAGCCTGTCCAACAAAGTGAGACTCTGTCTCAAAAAATAAATAAATAAATGGCAAACTGAACACAATGCACAAATATACAAAAAATGTGACAATATTGCAATCAATAGATTGCAAAAAGGACATTTGTTTATAGCAGGGGAGCCGAAACTTCCCCTGGTTAACCCCAGCTGGGGATGTATGTGGGTGACTCAAATTTCTTGCTGCTGTTCACATGTTCATGAATGACCATCAAAGTGCTATAAGTATTGATTTGGGGTTTACACATAAATTTTAATAAGTTGGTAAATTTGTAAACAGGGAATCCTTAAATAATGAGGATTGACTGTAATTGCATCAGTGACCACTATTGAATTGGACATCTGGCAGGCTGCTGAATGTTTTGATCCTTGCAAGTCTGGTCTAAGATAAACTTTCAAGTCAAAGATGGTAACTTTCCCCACAGTTCCCGAGACATGGACTGAGATGCAAAGTCTGGACAAACAGGAGAAAGGAGACAGGAGCTTTCTTCCTCTTAGTGGCTTCTTTCCAGTCCCTCTTTCCTGAATTCTTTTATTTAAGAGAAATCATATTTAAATTAAAGACAAGGAGAACAATAGTACATGTAAAGCTTCTGGCCTCACCCAAAACATTATAAAATGAGCTATAAATCCAGGGAACACAATGTCTGCACACTCTGTAGCTTTCCAGAAAATCTAGGCCAGACAACGGGCGGGAGTGGGGTGGGGGGAGTGGGGGATGGAGAAGCATTTCTCACACTCCTCCAGTGCTAATAGTTTCTGCAATGGGATCCTATTTGTTTTCTCATTCAGTCCCTAAAAGAGGCTGTGGAGTGGGCGCATAGCAATTACTGAGTTGCATAAAATCATCTGGTGGCTTAGGCCTCCCTCCCCCTTAGAACCAGGGTCTTCAGACCCCCCAAGCTTGTTTTTTTTTTTTCTTTTATTTTTTAATTGGAACAAACTGAATCAGTCCCAGATGTTGATATCAACGCATCTGTGGTTGAAAAGAAAAACAATTCTTTCTAGACCTTGAGGAATTTGTGAATGCTTTTACTTTTTTTTCTATACTTGTTTCTTGAACATCTAGTATATGCAAGAGAAGGGGTAAACATTGCGGGCCAGAGATGAGGAAGCCCTGGCCCCCACTATGGTGGATCCTGACCATCTAGAAAGCACTGCCCCAGAGAATTATAATCTGAGCCATAGTCATGCACCATGTATTGACATTTCGGTCAACAGCATACCAAATATAAGACGATGGTCCCATAAGATTATAGTACCGTATTTTTACTGTACCTTTTCTATGTTTAGGCATGTTTAGGGACACAAACACTTAACACTGCGTTATAGTTGCTTACACTATTCGGTATAGTAACGTGTTGTACAGGTTTCTAGCCTAGGAGCAATGGGATAGGCCATATAGCCCAGGTGTGTGTAGTAGGCTACATACCATCTAGGTGTGTGTAAGGGCACTCTGTGATATTCACACAATGACGAAATCACCCAACAGCACATTTCTCGGAATGTATCCCCATTGTTAAGCAATGCATGACTGTGTGTGTAGTCTTTTTATTTTCTACTTTTATTTATTTATTTATTTTTCTTTTCTTTGATTGTTTTTTATAAAGTCACTGCCACTGAAGACAGTATGTAGTTTTGAATTGTCTAGTCGCCATACTAGAAAACTGAAAAGAAAGAGGTGAAATTAATTGAATGCTATATTTAACCCAATATATCCAAAATATCATTTGAACGTGTCATCAAAATGAAAGTTCTGAATTAGAAGTTTTACATTTTAAAAATTTGTACTATGCTTTCAAAATCCAATGTGGATTTTACACTTCTCAGCACATCTCAATTTCGTCTAGCCTATGTTGGGCGGCGGATGTCTGTCTAGAGGGGAGATATTTCTAAATGAATTCATACCCCACCATGGGACGCTGGCCATAGTGGAACCCTGTACCCTGTGTCCTGGGAGCGCAGGGAAGGGAGCAGTTCATCCTGTCTGGGAGTTGCTTCCCAAGGCCTGCCAGAGCAGGGGACTCCTGAGCTGGGACTTGATCGCACCCAGAAGGGAAGGGCGGCCTTGGCAAAGGTAGGAGCGCCCATCTGGAGGCTGGCAGAGGGAGGAGGCTCTCTTCCTTGGGGTAGTTTGGTCCTAACGTTCTTCAGGTTAGCTTGAGTTTTGCAGTAGGACTTGAGTTCTAGGCGGGACAATCAATATTTCAGCGCTGGCCGGGCGTGGTGGCTCTCACCTGTAATCCTAGCACTCTGCGGGGCTCAGGCAGGAGGATCCCTTGAGGTCAGGAGTTTGAGCCCAGCCTCAGCATGAGCAAGACCCCCAAATTAGCAGGACAACTAAAGATAGAGAAAAAAAATTTTTTTCAGTCCTGATGAGTTTGCCCAGGGCTGTGTGCTTAGAACTGAGTGAGCCAATCCCTGCTCTCGGGGAGTTCATTCTGGAGCAGTGCTTCTCAGACTCAAGCGTCACCCCAAAGGCTTAAAGCACTGATTCCTGAACTACACCCCCAGAGTTTCCGATTCAATAGGCCCAGAGTGGGGCCTGGGAATTGCATTTCCAACAAGTTCCCGGTGATGCTGACGGTTGGGGAACCAGTCTTCGAGACCAGGGGTCTAGCAGATGAGTAAAGCCACCCAGCATTCATTCAACAAACACTCCCAGATTAGTAGCCTGTGACAGGCACTGCTTCAGCACTGGGGATGACAAGCGAAGGCCCCTCCTTCAGTGGCGCTTCCAGCATGGACACAAATAATAGACTTGGTGCCTCAGGGAGCTGGAGTGGACCTGTTGATGATGTCCTACGGTTGCCCGGAAACTCTGGTACCCACAAAAGTTACAATACTTTGACACCCAAGATTATTTCTATTTCCCAAAAGAAAAATCTGTCACAAGAGATATGCCATTTAATGAGGACCTACTATATGACAGAATTGGTGCCAGGGGTTTTATAAATATGGTTGCATCGCATTCTGACAACATGATAAGCACCTCACACTGTATGTAGCATGACAACCACCTCACACTGTATGTAGCAGGAGTGACCGAGTTTTCGAGGGGCTGGTGAAATATTAACACCTTGCCCGTGTTCATGGTGGAGCTGTGGCTTATCCAATGGCCTTTCTGTCCGTTTATGCTTTCTTGGTCTGGTCCTTTCAGCAGCATCCTTTTCTCCTCTAGCTTTTCTAATTAATGCCTCTATTTTTCTTTTTTTATATTTTTGTTTATATATATATATATATCTTTTTTTTAGTATTTTTAAAATTTTTTAATGTTTTATTTATTTATTTTTATTTCAGCATATTATGAGGGTACAAATGTTAAGGTTATGTATATTGCCCATGCCCCCCTCCCCCTGTTTATATATATATATATTTTTTTTAAATGGTTACATTGATTAATTTTTATTTCTTCAAGTAAAATCAAAGCTCTATGAAGATGCACCATGGTTTTTCAGGGGCTCAAGACCCCCTGAGGACTGCCACTGTGCCCAGAACTGTGACAAAAACCAAGCTAGCACCACTGATGCATGGAGTCAGGACACAGAAGGGACTTGTGGAAGTTGGTAATTTATTTATTCATTTATTTATTTTTATTTTAGCATATTATGGGGGTACAAGTGTTAAGGTTACATATATTGCCCATGCCCCCCTCCCCCCTCAAGTAAGAGCTTCAAGCGTGTCCATTCCCCAAATGTTGCACATCTTACTCGTTGTGGTTGTATATATTATAACATTTCTTTTTATTTTTTTCCCATAGCATTTCAAGCTATGTAATTAATACCTCTTAATGACTCTTCAGATCCCTGAGCAAGCACTGATTCATCAGGAAAGGCTTTCTTGACCTTCCTGATAAGTTTCAATTGTAGTATTGTATATTTATTGCTTCTTTAATTTATGGGGCTTGTTGTATAGTAGCTGCTTAATAAAATTTATTGATTGAATGAATGAGCTAACGGATTTAATGAAATCAGGGAAGGCTTCTTGGAGGAGGTCCACCTTGATCCAGGGAACTGAGAAGGCATTCCAGGAGACCAGAGCAAGGAGAGAAGTGGCCTGGCAGCTAAAGCTGGAGATAGGCTTGAATCTGGGGCGGTGGGGGCTCATGGGTGGGGTAGGGGGAATCGGACGTTCCGTATTATCTTGGGAGTTGCGTAGGTCTCGAGTGGAGGCCACCTGGGGGAGTGACTGTAGGGGTTGACAAGGGATTCTAATAAGGGGCTATTCAGGAAATAGAGAGCCCCTGAAGGTGTGGGGGCAGTTGAGCCACATCTAGCTTTTATTTCTGCTTCACAGGAAAAAGACAGCAGGGTTTTGTGATGGGCGGGAGGCGTAGAGAGGAGGAACCATGATCCAAGTTCCAAAACCTATTCCTAGGATCTAGTCCTAGCTCCACCCCTTAAGCGCCTCTGCTTGCAGGCAGGTCATGTAACCTCTTTGAAGCTCAGTTCCCTTTATGAAAAATAGATTAAAAGAAAATCACCTCACGCATTGTGGTGTTGTGAGGGTTAAATGAGATAATACAGCACCGTGTGCCCAGGATGACGTCTGGCATGGGACAAGCACTGAAGAGACACCGGCCATTATTATGAGGATGATTTTCTTCTCTTCTCTCCTTTCCCCTTTCCCTTTCTCTCCCTTTTCCTCCTTTTTTCATACATTGCCTATGAGAAGGTTTTCACCGGGCTCTGAGTGGAGCCCTGGAACTAGCTCTTGGCATCTAGGTAGGTGGAATATCTTTTTTTAAATTTTTTTTTATTTTTTGAGACAGAGTCTCACTTTTGTTGCCCGGGCTAGAGTGCCGTGGCGTCAGCCTAGCTCACAGCAACCTCAAACTCCTGGGCTCAAGCCATCCTTCTGCCTCAGCCTCCCGAGTAGCTGGGACTACAGGCATGCGCCACCATGCCCGGGTAATTTTTATATATATATATATATATGTTTAGTTGGCCAATTAGTTTCTTTCTATTTATAGTAGAGACGGGGTCTCGCTCTTGCTCAGGCTGGTTTTGAACTCCTGACCTCGAGCAATCCGCCCGCCTCGGCCTCCCAGAGAGCTAGGATTACAGGCATGAGCCACCGCGCCCGTCCTAGTTGGGACATCTTGGGCCAAGGGGTGGCCGTGCGCAAGAGACAAAGTCACAGCCTGGGGCATGTAGTACCCCACGTGGTCCCCAGCCACTGATGAAAGGCAGATCATTCCCCCACGGGTGTCCCAGTTGCTGCGTCTGCACTGGGAGGCCCCTAATCCCAGCTGACCGTTATTGAGACTATTATCATCTCACTGCCCCAAGTTCCTAATCTCCTCCCAGGAAATAATTTAGCAACTGCTGAGGCCAGCGAGGGGCTGAGCGCAAATCAGATGAATGCCAGGGAACATGCTAGTCTGAAGGGAAGTCTCTGCCTGCAGTAAGGCCGCATGGCACTTACCTCCACCAAAACAAAACAAAACAAAAAACCAAGAGAAACAAATGACACTTAAAGAAGGAAAAACAAACTTTCTGCGCTCACTTGGCAGCCAGAGCCTTTTGGGGGACCGAATTACAGTAAAGCTAAAAATAAGGCCTGGCATTTCTCTTTTCTACCTGCCTAGGGAACAGTATAATCCAACAGGCATATTTTGCACGATTTTGTTGTGTAGGACCCAGGGGAGAAAGGGTTCCTGAGATTGTAGCTTGCTGCTTGAAGATCAAACCCAGGGAAAGTTATTTTTATACCTAGTGGCTTGTTTGTTTGTTTCTTTTTCCCTTCTCCTTTCAACTGCCTGGTATTTATCTTTACAATTAGGGGGTTTGTCTTGTTAAACAAAGTATTTTTTTTTTCTTCCCTTGATTTTAAAAGGAATACATGTTCATTACAGAAAATTAGAAACTACTAAAAAAAAAGGAAGAAAAAAATGACATCTGTTATTCAAAGATAGCCATGGTTAGTTAACACTTTGGTACATTTACTTCTAGTTCTTTTTCTATGCTTCATTTAAACAGTTAAGTCTGTACAATGCATATAGCTTTGTATCCCACATTTGTAATAAGTATTTCCAACAAATGGCAGAATACACCCTCTTAAGCAATAGAACATTATCCATCTGGTTGAAGCCTGCTGCAGGCTCCTCAATTTATTTATTTTTCTTTTTTTCAGCCAACCTTTCAGAGTGCGATGCATGCTACTTTCTACTTTACCATTTCCTTGCTTTTCTTTATCGTTTTCCACATTTTTAGGTTTCAATAAACAACATATCATTTAATTTTGCATGATTTTGAGCTTTTTTTTTGTTTTGAAATAGGGTCTTGCTCTGTCTTCTGCTCTGGCTCATTCATTTCAAATTAGGTGTCCAAGATCCTTGGAAAATCCTGCTGGTATTTTGATTTCAATTACATTTGAATCTGCAGATCAATTTTGGGGCAGTTGACATCTATTAATATATATCGAAATTTCCTATCCATGAACACAGTTCCTCTCTCTCTTTCCATTTAAGTCTTTTAAAATGTCATTTAACAAATTTTATAACTTTCTTCACAAAGACTTGGCACATTTTTTTCGAACTCCTGACCTTGAGCAATCCTCCTGCCTCGGCCTCTTAGAGAACTAGGATTACGGACGTGAGCCACCATGCCTGGCCTTGGCACATTTTTAAATTAGAATTATTTTCATTGCCATTAGTTGTTTTTTTTTTTTTTTTTTTTGAGACAGAGTCTCGCTTTGTTGCCCAGGCTAGAGTGAGTGCCATGGCGTCAGCCTAGCTCACAGCAACCTCAAACTCCTGGGCTCAAGCAATCCTCCTGCCTCAGCCTCCCGAGTAGCTGGGACTACAGGCATGCACCACCATGCCCAGCTAATTTTTTCTATCTATATTAGTTGGCCAATTAATTTGTTTCTATTTATAGTAGAGACGGGGTCTCGCTTTTGCTCAGGGTGGTTTCAAACTCCTGACCTTGAGCAATCCGCCCGCCTCGGCCTCCCAGAGTGCTAGGATTACAGGCGTGAGCCACCGCGCCCGGCCCTTAGTTGTATTTTTTAAATTGCATTTTTGACCGACAGTTATTTAGTTGTAAAAATGTAATTGAGTTTTGGTTACTGATGATAAACTTGCTAATTTTCTCATTCTTCCTAAGCATTTATAATTTCTATTGGTGTTTTTCTGCAGAGAATCATATAATTTGGGAATAAAGATAATTTTTATAACTTTCTTTTATTTGTAATGTCTAATTGCATGAGTTTGTAACTTGAAAATAAATGTCAAATTTAAACCAGGCTAGCTGCTTTTTTGCTGACTGTAAAGGAAATTTTCCTAATAATTCACCATTAGGTATGATATTTACTTTGGATTTTTGTAAATATTCTTTTTTAGGTTAAGGAAATTTCTGTTTCTAGTTTACTAGGATTTTTTAAAAACATGTATTAGTTTTGAATTTTTAAATACTTTTTTTGACTACTTGTGATCTTGTGGTTTATCTCCTTTAATATGCTATGATATAATGAATACCCAAAGTATCTATCTAATTTCAGGCAAATTTGGTCATGTGTATTATTCTTCTTTATAATTGTTGGATTTGATTTGCTAAAATTTTTGTTTGGGGACTTTTTATCTAGGTTTGTGTGTAATATTGGCTGGCAATTTTTCTTTTTTATATTATTTTTGCCTCATTTTGACATTAAAGCTGTACTTTCTTCATTAAATGAATGGGAAATTTATTTTCCTCTTTCTGTTCTTTGCAAGAGTCTGAATTTATCTGTAGTTACTTCCTTTGACATTTAGCTGAAACTTCCTCTTAGAATCATTTGGCCTGGGAATTCTTTCTTTCTTTGTTTTTTTTTTTTTTTTTTGAGACAGAGTCTCACTCTGTTGCCTGGCTAGAGTGCTGTGGAGTCAGCCTAGCTCACAGCAACCTCAAACTCCTGGGCTCAAGCGATCCTCCTGCTTTAGCCTCCCAGTAGCTGAGACTACAGGCATGCACCACCATGCCTGGCTAATTTTTTCTACTTTTAGTAGAGATGGAGTCTCACTCTTGCTCAGGCTGGTCTTGAACTCCTGATCTCAAGCGATCCTCCTGCCTCAGTCTCCCACAGTGTTAGGATTACAGGTGTGAGCCACCTTGCACAGCCTGGCCTGGGAGTTCTTTACAGGATAGTTTACATTAGGGATTTAATTTAATTTTTAAAGTTTTTTTATTGATATATAACAGTTGTAGAGATTTTGAGAGTAGATTTACTTTCTTTAATGGTTAAAGGAAAAGC